CATTAAAAAGTCCACAAATGAAAAACCTGGCTAAGGTGTGGAGAAAAGGGAACCCTCCTACACTGTTGGTGGGAATGTACATCGGTGTAGCCACTATGTAGAACAGGATGGAGATTACTCAAAAAACAAAATAGACTTACCATATGATCCAGCAATCCCTCTCCAGGGCATATATCTGGAGGAAACTCTAATTCAAAAAGATACATGCAGCCCTGTGTTCATAGCAGCACTATTTACAATAGCCAAGACACAGAAGCAACCTACATGTCCATCAACAGATGATTGGATAAAGAAGTTGTGAGATATAGATAATGGATAGATAGATAGATAGACAGACAGACAGATAATGGAATACTACTCAGCCATAAAAAAGAATGAAATAATGCCATTTGCAGCAACATGGATAGACCTAGAGATTATTATACTAAGTGAAGTAAGTCAGAGAAAGACAAACATCTTATATCACTTACAGGTGGAATCTTAAAAAAATGACACAAATCAACTTATTTACAAAACACAAAGAGACTCACAAACATAGAAAACAAACTTCTGGTTACCAGGGGGAAAGGAGTAGGGAAGGATAAATTAGGAGTTCGGGATCTACAGATACAAACTACAATATATAAAAATAGATAAACAACAAGGTCCTACTGTATAGCACAGGGAACTATATTCAATATCTTGCAGTAACCTATAATGAAGAAGAAAATGAAAAGGAATATATAATTATATATTATATATTTAATACATATATATATATATATATATATATATATAAAGCTGAATCACTATGCTGTAAACCAGAAACTAACACAACTTTGGAAATCAACTATACTTCAATTAAATTTTTTTTTAATATAAATAAGTACCCAGATTAATCTTGGAGGTGGGATGCAAAACAATACCCCATAGAAAAACCATCCACTCCTCTCCACCTGGAGTTACACTTCTAGGGGTCCTAGGGGTCCTTCTAGCCACTGGGGTTTACAGAAGCCTCCAAAACACCATATTACTTAGCTGTGAACAAAGCAGAAATTAAATTCTCTCATTTGGTAGACACATTTCTGGCTGCCATTTGGAAAAAGGGAAGAGATTAGTTTAAAAATCTATTATCTCTCCATCCCTCATATCTACTGTTCTTCTTGTCTATGTATCCATTCTCTCTTTCTCTCCTCTCTTACATTTCCAAGGGTCCATCTCATAGTTTGAGATACTGTGGAAGAAAGGTTCACTTATTCTACTGGACAGATATTATGCAAATCTTCCCTGTTTACCAGAGTTGCACTGTATTTGCACTTGATTACGATAAGAGGTACTTCCCATACCTCGGGGAGAAAACTGTATTTTCTGCATCACTTCTAAAATCATTATTCACTTTTTTCTTCATCATTGTGTTTATTTACTAATTTTGATACTAGATTTTTTTATATTGACATAAAAGAATAAAAAAAGCAAAACGAAACACACAGAGTAGTTAGATCAACAACAGCAACAACCCAGTTTCTCATAGAAATGGCCTAAAGGGACCTGGGGTCTATTTTGAAGCTAGTTTGAATATGCAGGTTGTGTTAGTCCAGAACTCTGAAAAGCAGACACCCAGCAGGTTTTACAACTTTATTAGAGGAGGCACCTGTGAGGGAAAATATGAGAGCATGTCAGGCCCCAGGTGAAGTAGGGAGCAAGGGAAGGATGGCGGAAGACTCCAGCCTGTTGTGTAGACTAAGGGGAGTTTGGCATGGCCAGTGGGGAACCTCGAGCTAAAGCTGCCCATCAGAGGAGGCCATGTCTCCCAGGAATGGACCTGCTGCAGATTCCAGGCCTGGCTGGGGCAGGGGCAGTGCCAGCTGTGGGAGTCATGGCCTCTGGGCAAGCAGAGCTTCGATTTCAAAGCCCAGCAGCGGGCGTGGTCAACTGCACACCCTGCAGTTGGAGGTGTGCTAGGTGCATGCTCAGGGCCATCCTCTGGGTGGTTTCCTGCATACTCGGTTTAATTTGAGATTTGAGTTGGAGGCCAGTGCTGCAGCTGGACTCTGCTTTTCTGTTTAAATCTTGGATGCACTACCTTTCCAAATAATACAGCTTCCACATGATCATTCTGATCTGTCTTATAGGAGAGTCTGTGACAGGGGAGATTTCTTTTTGTAAAGGCTTGCGTCTGTTGATTTGGAAGCTTTACAGAAGGGCAATGTGCTGTCCACGGAGGGAACTCTGAAACACACGTGACCACCAAGTGCCAGAAGCAGGCCCTGCTAACTGCATGATCCCTTCCATTAACTCCACTGAGAAGATGTTAGTAAGAGGAAGTAAATGGCTGAAGTCCACTTTTCTGCTGCAGGACCCTGCACCCAGGAGCTGGTGACTTAAGACGGAGGTAATTAAAAGAAGCCACATACTTCTCCCTGCCGCTCTAGCAAACACTTCCTTTCACATTTTGAGGTCATAATTGACGAGCTCTCCCACAAGAAATTTCTGGCCCTTTCATAGCTTCTCAGTATTCCTTTGTTTGTTTGTTTCCTTCTCAGATGCTCCTACATTTCTAAGTTGTCTTCTGTTTGGTTTGTTGTTGTCACTGTTTTGGATGTTTCTCTTCCAAAATGTTTTTGCTTTAGTTTGTGTGCATTGAGAATCTGGAAGATCAGATATATTAGTGTTTTGTGTCAAGTTTTTCCATGTGCCTTGGTAACCTGTGAGCTGAGTGCCTTGAATAGCCTGAAAGAAGCACCAAAATCTCCTATCCATCCTGGGAAGAGCCAGACAGAACGAGCTACTCTGAACTTTGGGTTCTGCTCCTTTATGTTTTGCCATCTTCATCTTCAGCTGAAGGACAGTAGACACCTGTCCTTCAGACAGCAGTACAGCCTAGAACAAATGAGTACCAATGGACAGTCTAAACCCTGGGGTGGATCCCAGCTCTGCCCTTCACTTTCTCCATGGCATTTGCCAATCTCAGTTTTTTCATCTACAAAGTAGGGTTACAACAGCATCCCTGCCAACCTCGAGAGGCTGCTATGGAGACCCCTGTCAAAATGAGAGGATGAGTCAGAAGGCAGTTGGCAACTGTACTGTGCCGTGCCCACATGCTGACAAAACATTAGACCCACCCAGAGTTCGCCTACCAAATCCTAGCCTTGAGGGCTGTAATAGGTGTTAACTGAAAAAAAATTTTTTTCTACTTACTACTATATATAAAATACACAAACAGCAAGTTTCTTCTGTATAGCACAGAGAACTTTATTCAATATCTTGCAGTAACTTATAATGAAAAAGAATATGAAAATGAACATATATATGACTGAAACATTATGCTGTACACCAGAAATTGACACAACACTGTTAACTGATTATATTTTAATAAAAAAATTTTTTTTCTGTTAAAAATAGGTTTGAGGGCTATCTGCCTTTGGATCAGCCCACCTCCCATTCTTGGAGGTGTACTTTCCCTTTGCTAAATAAAACCTTTAAAATCTTTCACTACAAAAAAAAAATAGGTTTGAGGAATACTAGGTTAGCCAAATTTAAACCAGTTCCTCACTGCAGGGTTTCTCAGAGACTTATGTCCTGAGACTTAATGTCCCATGAATCTCCATAAGTGTTTTCCACAGTGTCTGAGAGGATCTGCTTTCTGTGGAAACCTGTGGGGTTCCACATGACACCCTCTATTAGAAATGCCGTATTACATCACATGACAATCCTTGAGTGGAGGATGTAGGTATCAGATGTGGTGCCAGCTCTGATGTTGATGCGTGGATCATAAGAGACACGAAAGACAGACTGGTTCACTGAACCAATGGAAAGTTAATAAGGAGCTACAACCTGAAAGATTGATGGCTCTTAATACCAAAAAAGCCCCCCAAACAAAAAAAAACAAACAAAAAAATCAAGAGAAATCCTTGACATGCGTGAAGAATCTGACATGGGCTCCTGAGTCACATTTCTAACAAGAATCATAATGTGATTGTGATTCTTGGGAAAGCACTGGCCCATGGGAAAGGGCAACTCTGTAATAACAGAAAACAACTGAAGACATCTCTTTTTCAGACCAGAGGCTTCCAGTTCTAACTCTTTTCTGACAGGGGTTCTGCTGGACACCTGAGGCTGAATGCTGCCTGTCACGCTCCCTTAAACTGGGGCCCCCAGAATGCCCATGAGCCCTCCTAGCAGTCTTTGTCTTTTCTTCCCTATCTTTTCTTTATCATTTGGGCCATAGAACACAGTCCTGCATACACAGCAGATGTCTGATAAACACGGTGAATTTCATCATCTTGTCCACGTAGACAGTGTATCATAAATCTCACCATCCATGGTCAGAGCTCTTCCCATAAATACTGGGTGAGCACCTGCTCTGTGCCCGGCACCACCCTAGGTCTCATGGACACGTCAGCACATGGAGCAAGCACATGTCTCTGCCCTGTGAGGCTTATGTCACAGTGGTGTTCTACCCACCCCTTACGTTTGCATAACCTTGGATAGTCCACAGAGACTTTTTACAAATTTATCTTAGTTGGTTCCATGGAAACCCTATGATGTAGTTATTATTACTCTCAATTGACAGATGAGAAAGTTGAAGTCCAGCAAGATTAAATGATTAACCCAAGGTCATGCAGCTGAGGGTCTGCCAACTGAAACTCAAACTCAAATCCTCTTTGGCTGTCTAAAGCTGTGCTACGACTCACATCATCAATGTCTCCCATTGAATTCTGCAGAATAATTAGGTGATCCCCTAGTCTCATTCTTTCTTCACAAGGAAATCCCGATTACACTTTCTTATCCTGCCTCCTCATAGGTCAAAGCCATGCTTATTCAAGAATTATCCCCCTTTCCAAAATAAAAAAGCAATTATCAAGGGAGGGCAGAACCTCCAAAATAGCTGTTGACCATCAGCAATGATCATCTAAAGAATTACTCAACTGAGTTCACTGTGTGTCATCTCAATCATAGAAAAGAAGAACTGCACCAAACTCGATATGTTTCTGAAAACTTGCAAAACCTGAGAAGCTAAGCCTGTTTAAAACAGGAAGCTGTGTTGCTTCCTACCTTACTAATGTCTCTGGTGGTATCAGATGGTATCTCCATTTCATGGGTGATGAGACCTAAGCTATCACTGGACGCATAAAGGACTTTGCTAAATTAGCAGGTACCACTGTCTTCTTTTTATTCTCATTTGGGCAAGAGCTTATTAAATGCAAAAGAAGTTGTTTGTTTAGGAGAGGTTTCCAGGTAGACCGTCAGGTTTCTAGGAAAAAGGAGATGGAGTGAGGGGTCTAGATAGGTGGGAGCCATACCTCCCCAGAGTGCTCATGCATGGAGGAGGCAGAGGAGAGGGAGGTCCACTGCAATGCAGGAGGTGGTATGGGGCCAAAGTGGGAGAGTAGATTGTGAAATATATCCATTGTCTTCTTGCTTTCTCCCATTTTGCCTTTCTTTCTCTCACCTGTACCATGATATATCTGTCTCTTCCACTCATTCAAACTTGGCCTTTTATACTTCTTCAGTTAACATGCCCATGACTGTATCCATGTTGCCTTCCTTGTGCTTTCATAAATTCTCAACTATTAAGAGTATGACCACTTTAAAATGGTTATACTTAGTAGTTTTCTGTTGTTGATATTGACTTATAAGAAATATTCAGTGAAAATATAATTGACATATATGTGTGTGTATATACATTTATATATTATACTTGTATATATACATATATTTTTCAATTTTTCATTGAAAATCCACTTTAAGTTAGGCTATTAGATGAATCAGTTGATCGGTTGATTTGATATCCTTTTGTCTGGATCTACAAGGTTGACTCTTTGCCTTTCCTGGCCCTAGATTAGAAGGTAGGGATAGAAAGCCTACCTAATTTTCTGGGAAATCTCACAATGTTGGGAATGAAAGTTAACTGTTGTTTAACAAGTGTTTCAAGGGTAGGCGGTGAGAGTATGAGGTCTTTGGTATATGGAAGTGATAGTTGGAGTGTATTTGCAGCTTATTTCAGAAGGTGCTGATGATTAATAACTATGCAGGCTATTATTTCTCCTAAGGGAAGAATTGCATGACTCAATAAGAAAAAAGCAGATAAACCCAGCAGAATAAAATGAGTAAGCAGAAACAGATAATTCACAGAAAAAGAAATATGAATGATTAATAATTACAACTAAAAGAGAAAACCTCAGCAATTAGATAAATGTTAGTTATAACAGTAATACATCCTCTTGCCTGTAAAACTGGACAAGTAATTTTTTCCTTTTAGATCTTCCTATTGATGGGCACCTGTGAGACTGGCACCATCACCTACTAATATATACATTGTTACACACTTTCTGGAAGCAATTTGGCAAAATGCATCAAGAGCCTTAGAAATATGACTACAGGTAGAAATTGTGCTTTGAGAAATCTACTTTAAAGAAATAATAAAAATACAAAGATGTTTATTGCAGCATTATTTGTAAAAGTGCAAATTGGGAACAACTTAATCACACAACAATGTGACAATGATTAAACAACCATGAATATCTATACAATATACTGCAGTTGTTACGAATTATATTTTCAAATAATTTTCAACCACATGGAACTAGGTGAAGGATATAAAATTTAAAATATCAATACAAAAGGGCATGCAAAAGTGATATCAATTGTAACAAACATGGCAGCCATTCTCTCTCCATGTTATAAGTGGAGATGGAAGTACCAGGGGCCAGGAACCATGTTATTTTGACTGTATAGGCATAATTTCCCTATAAAACATTTCTTCATAATCATCTCTTTCAACTAAGTAACATATCAGCCTGTATACAAACACTAAAAATTAGCCACATTTGAAACTTGCTTATTGGAATATAAAGAGTAAGTCTAATCTTTGAACAAGGAAGTTAGTAAAAAATATCCTGTCATTTGGCAGGTGATGAAACCAAGTCACTCAACCACACAACAAGAATGGAGTATAACCTTTGCTCTAGTAACTAATAATAATGATTGGCAGCTGTGGAAGTCCATGTGCTGCCCTAAAATATAAAGGCTGGGAGATGTCTGCAGCTGGGAATAAGACTGCATTTATTTGTGATTTCAACCTTGAGAGGTTCTTGTGTATTTCCAGGGAGGGAAGTTACTGGCTCACAAGGCAGCCCATTCTGTTCCTGCACATCTTGGTTCTTAGCAAGCTCTTCCCCAAGTGCGACTTAATGTACTTTCCTCCAATATCATCAAATTTCATTTCCTCTTCTACACGAAGTTATCACATCATAGACTCTTCTATCTCAAAGGGACCTAAAACATAGCCTAATCCAATCCTTTAATAAAGAAAGATTAGAAAACTTGGTCCAGATCAAAGATGTACAAATAATAGGAGGAAAAAATAAGAAGAAAAGAAACAAAAATGAACCTGAAGACATTTGTTTTTCACACAGAACATTCCAAGTTCTGCTAACTATGGCTGATGTTTCCAGATCTTTATCATCCTAACCTGTCTTGCGCTCCAGGTTGATACTAACCCTCTTAAAATGTGGTACCTGGGATAGAACCTAGTATTTCAAATGTATAGTCTGAAAAGTGAAAAGCAGGGTAAAATTATTCGGTTCTATCCTTCTATCCATTTAAAAAGCATTTATTAAGCAGCTATTACTTGTCAGGTATTATACTGGGCACTAGTCCTGCACCATTCAGTATCTGGGATACTTGTCACATGTGGTTATTCCAATTTAAGTTAATTAAATTCAAATAAAATGAAAAGCTCAGTTCCTCAATAGGTGTAGCCACGTTTTAAGTCCTCAGCAGCTATGTGTCTAGTAGGTGCTATGTATCTAGTAGGCACAGAACATTTCCATCATTGCAGAAAAGTTCTATTGGATAATGCTGTACCAGATAATTATTTTTTTCTGACTATCCCAGGTTCTCTGTGGAAAGATGAGAAAGAGGAGGGGGCCCTGGCTGTATAGGTGGGAAGCAACTTGATTAGCTATACGGCTAGTTAGTTGGATGAATAAATGAAGAAACATCTGGGTAGAGAGGTAGATGGAGAATCAGACGAGTAGATTTTCTATGTTCTGGATCATCTATTAATATAGACTAGAGCTGAATTAGCTCTTGGGGTCAGCTTCTAAAAAGCTTGAAATTGAAGATATTCTTAGATCAACCCTTACATTTCCTCTTTCCTTCACACCTAAGCTTAGGGAGGTTGGAGGTCTGTAACTCAGAGATAGCAAACAGATTTTAAAAATTTAGGAGGGATTTCATGTCACCTAGTCCAAGAGTTGTTAACCTAGGCTGTACATGGGAATTGCCAGAGGAGCTTTAACAATCACTGAGGCCATGGTTCTACCCCCAGAGATTCTGATTTAACTTTTCAAGGGTATAACTTGACATTAGGATTTCAAAAGCTCCCCAATGATTCCCATGTGCAGCGAGGGCCGAGAACCACTGCTCTCATCAACCTTCCTCCCACTGTGGAAATCTTCTCCTACAATGTCCCTGATAGCCAGCTACCCAGCTTCTTCTTGAATTTCTCTAGTCACAGCTTGCTCAGGCTTCACAAGGACTCATTTTATTTTGGACAATCCAGCTCAAACTCTTCTGTTGTGGCTGAATTTGCCTCTTGGAACTACCTTCCGCTGGTTCTAGTGGGAGCCTCTGGGGGTCACACATGATTTCAATTCTCATCTACACACCAGTATCTTGCTCTCTTCTCCTTTTCCAAGTGTCATTTCTGCAGGGTAGATACCTCTGGCTCCTATAGCTCATCTTTATTGGGTAGGGTTTCCTCTCCACTACATCTGAGTTGGGCAAAGTTTGCATTAAATGTCTTGCCTAGGACCTGGCCTAGTGCTCTGGATATAATCTCAGACCATTTAAAAACCCCATCACATGCTAATCTGAAATTCTAGGTGACTGTAAAGTTAGCATGTGACGGGTTTTTTTTTAAAAAACTTCCTGCATGTAAACATAGATTAAATTAGTAGCACAGCAGTGTATGCAGTTATGGGAAATGATCATTTCACAGCATCCTAAAGCAGTCAAAACTAAGTGCCCAGTATCTGTGGTAGGTCGTATCATTGTTTCTAAATACTTACTCCCTTCCACCCCATAAAGGAGTACACCCTTCCTTGCCCCGACTATGCTGGGCTTCCCATGTACCTTATTTAACCAATGGACTGTGAGTGGGTATGATGTACATCATGTCTAAGTACAAGCTTTAAATGTGCTTGCATGGCTTAGTTCAACCTCCTGTTCCTTCAGCCTAGGTCCCAGAATGAGAAAATATGGGGAGTAGATCCCAGTGTACTCACAGCTGGGAGTGGAGGCCAGGAGAGCCCAGAAGAATTTGAGCTGACCCATAGCCCTCATGTAATGTGAACAAGAATTAAAGGTTTGTGGATGAAAATACAAAAGACAAACAAACAAAAAAAACCCCAAATTAAGTGCCCGGCAGAACATCCATCTCCCTTCCTTCCTTCCTTCATTTCTTTTTCTTTCTTTCCTTTCTTTTCTTTCTTTCTCTCTCTCTCTTTCATTCTCTCTCTCTCTCTCTCTCTCTTTCTCTCTCTCTTTCTATCTATCTACCACCCACCTGTCATCTTTGTGATAATCTAACCTTGATGATTCTTCATTGGAATATCAGTAAGAAAATGGATTAATACAATCGTGGGTTCCCATTAGGTTATTCAACCAAACTCATTTGTAGAAATTCAAACTTCTCATTTACTATAACTAAACATTTTAATGAAGGCTAAAAAGGCTTGTTAAAGCATTACTGGATACCAATCACCATAGGTTTTCTATAACCTTGAGTAATGGGCTACAGACTGGTTATTTGTGGAAAGTCAAGAATTTCTCTTTAGGTGGAGGAGATACTCCTTCCTCTAAAGTCATAGTATACTATCTTGGACAAGATCTAAGAAATTTTGGACAGGCCTGAAAACTTGAAAAGTAGAGGTCAGTGTGTGGAGGAGGGGGAGAACTAACATGCATCTGCCTGGCTCTGTGCCCAGATGTTCTCGCATGTGTTGCTCCACAGAATCCTCACTTTACTCTCCTCCTCACAACACTTTCTTTGCTTCTCTTCTGAGACACAAGTGCTTCTGGGTTTTCTCCTACCTCACTGTCCACTCTTTCTCATTTTCTCTTGCTGTGTCCTCCTCATTTCTGTGA